ACCACGGGCAGCAATTCGGCAAGTCCATGAATTCCATGGGCAACCATTCTCATGAGCCCATTGGAGAATTGCAAATTGGCCACCCTGAGCAGCTGAAGAGCATGTCTCTTCATCCCATGGACATCCGTTCTCATGAGCCCACTTGAGAATTGCAATGTGGCCGAATCTGGCAGCAGAAGAGCATGTCCTTGAGTCCCATTGTTCCTGGCCCATTCCAGTAATTTGAAATGGCCATACTTGGCAGCCTTGTGGCATGTCTTTTCATCCCAGGGACAACCGTTCTCATGCAACCACATAAGAATACTGAGATGACCACTTGCCGCAGCTTTCGAACATGCCTCAGCATCCCACAAGCATCCATTGGCTCTGACCCATTTGAGAATTTCCATATTGCCACATTTAGCAGCACCAGCACATGTCCCTGAATTCCATGGGCAGCCATTGTCACGAGCCCATTTTAGCAATTGAAATTGACCATGTTCTGTGGCAGCAGAGCATGTTTTTTCATTCCATTGGTACCCCAATCTGCGGGCCCATTTCAGCACAGGGACACTTCCAGTTCTGGCAATTAAAGAACAAACACTCTCTTGATCAATGCAGTTGTAGCCAGCATCATCTTTAAGCCAGTACTTGGCACAAGGCAAACTGTAAAACACAGCATTTGAAAAAGTGTCTGTGCTTGTTGCTGGGACAACCCACTGAGATGTGTTTTTCTTGTATTTTTTAACTTTTGGCGGGTTGTTGACAGTTGCACAGAATCCCTTGTAAAGCTGATTGAGTTTCTTGTTGACACAGCCAGCAAAGGCATACTGACCCATGCCCAGAAAGGGAAGGATATTGTTGATCCAGATACCTTCATGATCCAACAACATAATGGTACTGGTGGCCAGGGTGGAGAGTTTCTGCTGTGTCAAGCTTGTCTCAGAGGCCGCGGACATCATTGTGGTTCTTGGCTTTCGGTGGATGGGTGGGTGGATGGGCGGATGGATGATGTACAGTTTGCTTCTGTTCGCTGTTCCTTCTTTGGCATCCACAAGAAAGTGGAGTAGTTTTTCCAAAGTTTGCTTGCTTCTGCTGATCAAGTCTTTCCACGGTTCACGGTGATTTATCGTGACGACTGATGGCTAGACTAAATAGATACGTTAAGGAGCGAGGGGGGCGAGGCTAGGCAAAGCAGTGGCTGCGGTGGTGGGTGGCTGGTGTGGTGGGCATACGGGGAGAGCAATGAGGACGCGAGCAGGGCAAAACAAGGGGGGCAGGGAAGGGGGGAAGGACAAGGGAGCAAAATTAGCGGAAGAGTGCAAGTGCATCCCAGAGAGAACGACGGTAGCTCATTGCGCCAGCAGGGACACGAGAGCCACGCATGGAGAGGTGGCGGGCCCGAAGAATAGCTAGGCTGAGCCGAGCATTAACGTAGCCACGCACCACTGAGTAAGGGCGTTCCCACTTTGCAGCGAGCAAAGCGGAAATACGTTTCGCGAGTGCCTCAGCTTCGGCTAGACTACTGACATCGAGTTTTGCGTGGAATCTCACTTCTTGTAAAATGTGAACAAGGATGACTCGACTTGACAGCACTACTGTACTAGCTAGCTAGCCAGCAGCTTGCTGAAATCTAACTTCGAATGATTCGATTCGATTCGTTTCGTTTCCATCGGTGCATCGAAACCAACAGAGCCATTAAAATAATCCACGTTTTGCTCTCCGCCTAGCTAGCTAGCGGTAGCTATGATGGATGGTGGGCTCACCGCGAGAATCGATGAAGAAAGTGTCGAAATTCAGGACTAGGTTCCGTGCGTTCAGGGGCGATAAATTGAGGACCAGTACGGGGCCAAAAGTGCTTGGCTTTGTGGGATCCACCGAGACATGAATGGGTAGCTGTCACAAGGCAATACAGAATGGGTAGCTTTCACAAGGCAAGCAATACAGATGCCGGTCTGCATGAAGAACATCATTTGAGAGTAGTCTATGAGAACTGAGATTTTTCCTAGCCAGTGAATGAGTTTCCATACTGCAAGTCTCATAGTAATGGACGCCCATTGTCTTGTGCCTACTTCCAAAGTTCAAAATGGCCACTTGCTTCACATTCTGACAGACACTGGCATCCCAATCACACCCATTCTCATGGAACCATCTTAAAATCACCAAATGGCCACCTGCAGCAGCCTGTTCAAGCGTCACTTTATTCCAGGGACATTGATTTTCGTGAGCCCATTTTTGAGAGTTTTGAAATGGCCATTCTTGGCAGCCTCTTGGAAGGCATGTCCATGCATGTCCATGCATGTCCATGCATTCCATGGGCAAACAAGAACCATAGTTGGCCTCCATAAGCGGCAGTACAAACACCCTATTTATCAAAGCAATTGTTTGCCAGTGAAAAATTTAAAATGCTGGCCAGCAAAGAATCTGGTACTTAGTTAGTGCAGCCACTTGGCTTTGCCGGAATGAACAATTTCGCATAATGCTTTACAACGCCATTCCCTTGTAAATTCGACCAGTACAAACTACAAAGAAGGCAAATATTTGTATTGAGCATAAAGTGAGTTTGGCAACTGATAATTCAGGACTCAAGAGGTGCCACTTTGCTCTTTGCTTTGTCGCAATGAAGAATATCACATCAACACATCAACGAGCTGTACCGGTACTAGTACACTGCCGAGAAAGGCAGTCGGGACCAGATATTCATACCAGTACCTGCAAAGCCACTTCCACAGGAAGAGATGGCTGTCAGTACGTGTTGTAAGCTGTTCGTAAGCTGTTCATTCGTGTAGCTTCCGCTTTGTCTGATTTGCGTCTCATGTACTAGCTAGCTAGTGTGCATGTGTGCATGGCTGTCACAGTCTGATTTTTTGTAAAGTAAGTGGGTAGAGCTGTGGGAAGTGGGATACACCACGTGTCCCTTTTGTATAAGGGCAATTGCGTTAATTCATCGAGAAGTACACCACGTGTCGGTTTGTAGAAAGGGTAGTCTCGTTATTTCATCAATCGAGTTATGATAGTCCATTATGGTTGGTACCGGTACCAGGGTACAGCTGTACCGGTACTCCTACAGTATTTTTCTATACTCAGAACTTAGTACCACGCATCTTTTTCAAAGTTCGTTAATTCGGCCGTTCTGGGTTCTTTGAAACTGAGTGACGTGCGTGGTGGTGCAATGTCAAATGTCAATCTCCGAAGTCTTCGAGTTTTCGTCTTCTCACAATTTCAAGCCTCCTTCTCACTTCCTTCACATCTGTCTTTACTAACATCGTTGCACATTGGAACATGACAAACCCTTCCTCGTCCCCATCCAAAACTGTCCCGTCCAATACAAGCAGATCACCCACCAACATGCTTCCATGCTCCCGGCTGACACTGCAGATCCCAAGCAATCCAGCACCAGCTAGTGTGATGAGAGGTGCAGAGGCACAGTCAAGGCTCCAGACAATTCTACAAGATGCAATGGATTTGCTTGATGATGAGGACTTGTTTGATTTCCAAGACACTGGCTCCGCGTCAAGGCCATGCCAGTGAGTCGAGTCGAGTCGAGTCGAGTCGAGTCTACCAAGGCAAGGTAGCAATGTCTCCGGCGCCAAAAACGATGGCCATGCTCCCAATGGACTTTACCAGAAGAAAAGAAGAGTTGCTAAGAGGTAGCTAGTTAAGACATTTTATTAAAATACCTGTAGGCTATCAAATACATGTCACGCATTGCATGCACAAACTAGCAAGATTCTCTTATTTACAATGCCTTGCTATACCATCAACACCAGCAAAATTTAATACTGGAACTCTCAGATGATGTTCTTCATTCAAACTCGCTCCTACTAGCTAGCTAGGAGTTGCTAGCTAGTACGAACAGACTACTTACTTTTGGAAATGCATGCATCATACTACAGCCAAGTTTCATGAAAATGACACCGAACTTTGACATGGCCATCAGGACTCCCAAGCAAGGATAGCAACCATGCATACCGTAGTCTTGGCAGCTTTACCTCGTGTCAGCCAGTCAAGCAAAGACTGGTATAGTTAGTTAGTTAGTTGTTACCGTAGTTACCAGAGAAAATGCACCAGGTACCGGGAGACAAGATGTACCAGCAGGCACCAAAAGATAAAAGCAAGCTTGGAAGGCCGAAATATCAGTGGGGTAGTAGTATCCTGCAACGACACTGGCTCTTCTTGGCAATTTTCATATACCCATTCCACAACGTGCGAGTCGCCATTTCTAGCTGAAACAATGATTCCACCAAGGCTGTAGCGAGCATCATCTTGTTGGAACCGGTACTTGGCACAAGACGCACTGTAAAACACGGCACTTGAAAAAGTGTCAGTGCTGCCTGCTGCAGTTTCCCCCCATGCACCTGTTTCTAAATCCCAATGCTTCACCTTTGGAGGATCCTTGACTGTAGCCCCATATTCCTTGTAAAGCTGATTGAGTTTCTTGTTGACACCACCCACAAAGGCATACTGACCCATGCCCAGAAAAGGAAGGATGTTGTTGATCCATACATCATCTTCATGATCCAACAACATTCTAGCTACCGGTAGTAGTGGCCAGGGCGGCGGGGAGATTATGCTTTTTTCAAGTTCTTGCCTATCAGTGGATGGATGGATGGATGGATGGATGGATGGATGGATGATGTACGGTGTTGCTTCTGTTGGTTTCCTGTTCCTTGTTTGGCAGTCACGCTAATAGAATACGAGAAAGTGGAATAGTTTGGTTGCTTGCGCCATTGCTCGAGCAAGTCGAGTCGAGTCTGTTGCCACGGTCCAGGATGATCTATCGTGACGACCACAGAGTTAGCGTGGAATCTCTCGAGGGATTGATTTGATTGGATGCAATCGACACACAAGATCTGCAATGATAAGCCAGCAAGATAGCTTGCAAGTGAAGGAAAAAATTGGCTTGTCCCCTAAATTCCACGCTGCACGCCACCCCCACCTTCACTTTAGCCGTTGCAATAACTGCCTTGTCCGATGCGCACCTCTTGCTTGTGGCTGAGATTAAAACCCCACGTCATTCTTGACGGATTGTAATTTTTGCGGCAGCAACGGTCCAAAATGCCAACCAAGTAAAAGACCAAAACAAAGACCGACCCAAACAAAGCAAAGCACGGCTTGGATTAGATTTGGGTTGATCGATCGGGGAGAGTCTTCTATCATCCATCATATCCATTCTATCTTATTAGCTATCTTATTAGTTTCTGAAGTAGACAAGATGCTAGGCTGGGCGAGTAGCCAATTTGAAAAGCTATCTCAAACGGTAGCACCTCCTCCTACGGATGGCAACAGTCGATTTGTCTATGCCGTTCAAAAGGGCGATGAAGATGGCGCCATGGCGTGTGTGTCGGAAATGGACGACGTCGCACGCACCAAATTGAATCCAACCCGGGGTTCCTACGCGATTCACTTGGCGTGTCAACAGTGCATGGATCGCCTGATTCGGTATTTACTCCAACAACCCGGTGTCGATTTGACATACATGGATAGTGCCGGCAATACGCCGTTGCATTATGCCTGTTTGTCCACCGACACTTTGCGCGCTTTGCCGACCGTCAAATTGTTGGTGACAGAATTGGGTGCGTCCGTCGTCGCCAAGAATAGTTTGGGTCAAACCCCGTACGATGTGGCGACGGTCAATTCCGTACGACAATTCTTATTGCCACTCCAGTTGCAACAAGAAACGCAAGCGGCCATTGACAATGGCGGCGTTGGATTGCCACCCGGGATTGATATGGGAGGATTGCGCATTCGAAATCCCGTCGCGCCACCGCCGCCGATACGTCCCGCGCCCATGTCCTCACCGGCGCCCACGCATTCCATGTTACAACAGCAAGATGGCGGAGTGGCACCGACATCCGGGGGCTACGCATTGTCGGGATCCTCGTCAGCCCATACGGCCGTCATGAAGGGATTTCGAAAACCCGATGGATTTCATTCCTCGTCATCGGACGCCAATTTGCAAAAGAAATACGGACACTACCAATCATCTCAATACGCCAATATTGCGCCCCCGCCCGCATCGGGAGGAGCGCCCATTGCAAGTGCGTTTGCTGCAGGCGGCGGCAACAATCCATTTGCCGGAGGAGCCGCCGCCAATCCGTACAGTGGACGCGCCAATTCCCGTTATGTCGCCTACGATGCCGTCTCCAATACCACCTCGCCCATGCCAATGGCCATGCCCAATCAACGAACCATGTCGGCACCCAATACTGGTACCGCCAATTATGGAGTGTTTCAACCCGGTGGTACGACTACTACGCCACAGCAGCAACAGCAACAGCAACCAGCCATGGCGGCGTTTGTCACACCCCAAAAGGAGCAGCAGCAACCACCGCAACAAGGAGAACAACAACAACTGCCAGCGGGATGGAAGGAAGTTACCGATCCAGCATCGGGACGACTCTACTATTACCATGAAACGGATGGAACCACGTCGTGGGAAAAACCTACAGCTGCCGTAACCGCACCAATCGTTGTAGCAACCACACCCGAACCAACACCCGTGGCGGCGAATACTACCACAGAAGAAGAAGAATTATTGCCGGGGTGGAAGCCAGCCACGGATCCAACGTCGGGACAGGTATATTATTACAATGAACTCGATGGTACCACTTCGTGGGAAAAACCAGTGGCACCAACTGCCACGGCGCCAGCACCGACAGCAACAGAGGCTACCACGACGATGGAACCAACTACTAGTACAGAGCCAACACCATCGCAACTCCAGCAACCACAGGAAGAACACAAGACAGAAGTTGCCGCGGAGCCAACCGAAGGAGCAAAACCGGAAGGGGGAGAAGTCAAGCAGGAAGAGACAAAGCCAGCTGAAGAGCCAAAACCGGAAGAGGTCAAGCCGGTCGAAGAAGCAAAAGCCGAAGAGGAAAAGGCACCCGAAGAGGTCAAGCCGGTCGAAGAGCCAAAACCCGAAAAGGAGGAAAAGACTGAAGAGGAAAAACCTGCAGAAGCGACGGATGCCTCGTCTGCTCAACCAGCTACTACTGCTTCTGCCTTTGAAACCCCCGCTCCTACGTCTGCTGCTGCAGAGGTCCCTCCACAACAATCTGTGCCTCCGGCCCTGCTGGAAGGATGGCATGAAACTCACGATCCGTCAACCGGACAGGTTTATTATTATCATGTGGATGGAAGGACCTCGTGGGAGAGACCAGTTGCACCAGAACAGAAACCTGTGGAGACCATTCCTCAGCCGCTTCAAGTTGACCCCATCACGACACCTGCGAAAATCGATCCAGTCACCACGGCATTCTCGCCGTCGACAACGGCTGCGGCCGCCATGGCATTCGGGACACCGGCTGCGCAACAAAATAGTGCCCAACCACCCCAAGGAGTCATTAGCTTTAGTAGTGGAGCCCCCACGGTGCTTTCACCTTTGGCCGAGGGACAGCCACCAGGTGCCGCGACACCGGCTGCGAGCAATATCTTTGCGGCGCCGCCATCGGGAGGAATGACGCCGTTCGGTGGGGTTGCGTCCTCCGAAGTCTTTTCGTCGCCCACTATGCCATCCCAGGCAGCAATCAGCAATGACATGAGAGCATCTACGGAGCCAAATGTGGCTTCTGCTGGAGCCTTTTCTTCCATCCAGAAAGCACCGAACAGTGGTGCGGCGGATTTGTTTGCATCGCCTCCGTCCGGAGGCGTTTCTTGGTCTTCTGCTGCGAATACTACCATGGCAGATGCTCCTGCTGTAGCACAACCTGCAGCCGTTACGTTTGCGCCAGCCACCAGTGGCCACGTCTCGCCCATGCCGAACCAGGAGGCCAAGCCGGCTTCTGCCGCGGATCTCTTTTCCGCGCCCGGTGCCAGTGCAAACAATGTGTTCTCCACCGGTGGTCACGTGTCGCCCGTTCCAAATCAGCAGGCGAAACCGGCATCAGCCGCAGATCTCTTTTCAGCTCCTAGCACTGAGTTTTCCACTGGTGGAAATATTTCGCCTGTCCCAGCAACAACAAAACCTGCATCGGATATCTTTTCGGCGCCCAATGCAAACGATGCACCACCAATGTCCGTGCCCCAGCCTGCTGCTGCGTCAGCTTTCTTTTCGGCGCCTGGTACAAGCAATCCACCAATGGCAAGTGGTCACGTCATGCCAAATCAAGAGGCCAAACCAGCCTTTGCAACGGATGCCTTTTCAGCACCACCAGTCACAACAACGAACCCCACGCCCGTCACGGCGTTTGCAACCCCCGCGCCCGTAGCGGATCCCTCAGCTGCCTTCTCAATGCCCCCGCCTGCGGTTGCCTCGGGCCCTGCTGGGATGAGTCCTTTTGCAAGTGTTGCTCCCAGTAACAATGGTGCTGCAGCCAATGCCTTTGCGGCCCCTCCGTTTGGAGGCACACATCCCATTGTAGACCCTGCATCCGCGACTCCACCGGCTCCGGGAATGCCAGCAGAACAAGTGTTCTCTGCGCCAACAACTCCTGCAGCAGCCACGACGGAAGCGCCCAAGACTCCCACTGCTCATGACGGCGACTCGTGTGGATCCGATGATGAAATGATGGACGACGTGCCACTCTCACCCAAAACGCCTCAGCAAGCCGTCCCGTTGGCCCCGAATGTTGTTAATGTTGCCCCGCCCACAGATATGTCATTTCCTCCTCCGCCCATGAACCAGGCTCCGGCACCCATGCCTGCGACCCCGGGAGCCGAGTCTTTGTTTGCGGCGATTGGGATGCCCCCACCCCCATTCTCGGCCAAGAAATAATATTGAACACACCCAAAGAAAAGAAAAACTGCTATCGAGTTGGAAAGGAGAGGGGAAGTATTATATGATAGATAATTAGTTAATATCTAGCGTATCTGAAAGAATAAACTTAGAAGCTGTTATAGAACCGCTGCAAGTGGTGCTTCCATCATTACGCCGCTACGGCAACGCTCCTTGATGTCCGCTGGAGAAGGCAAATCCCCCAGGTAAGCGATTGCAGCCATCACGAATTTATGAAGAGATCCTGCTCCCGTTTCCGGCCCTCTACTACCAATGTGTGCCAATGTGGTTCGAGCTCTTAATTGACGAGGCGGCAACAGCGTCATTGGAAAACAAGGATTCGTTGGCTCTTTATACAGTTGAGGCAAACAACAAAAGAAACATGATGCTCGCTCCTGCATTCTCCCTGCCTCTTGCTATACTACGGTAGAAGATGAGCTCCTAAACGACGTAAAACTATCAAATTGTCCACGTTGTCCATCAAATCAAGATCAACATTGCTTTCTTCTCTTTCTGAATCGTTTCCATTTTCAGCAAGTCTTTCGCCCCTGACTTGACCATTCGTTTCCTTTCCTTTCTCTGTAAATTCCTTGTTGGCCACTCCACCAGGTACTTCCTCCATTATTAATCTCCACAGCACAACCAACCATACCACACCATACGGTACCACTCGTTGAACCAATCAATTAAGCAACTCGAACCGAGATCATTTTGATGGGAGTATTGGGATTGTCGTTTCGGGTGGGAACCTTGCTAATATTCTTGACCAGATCCAATCCTTCCACAATTTGTCCAAAGACGGGATGGGCACTCTCGGTCGACTTGTCAAACCAATCCAAAAAGTTATTGTTGGCGACATTGATAAAGAATTGGGATCCTCCCGATTCGGGTTGACCGGTGTTGGCCATACTGAGGGTGCCCACGCCATTGGTAATACGTTGATGACTCTGACCGACTTCATCGGGAATGCCACCATCGGCCGTGCGGGTGTATGTCTTGCCATCGCACGACTTGAACTGCGTGTTGGGACTGGGACCACCCGTACCGGCACGAGGAGAATTGGGGTCTTTGGCGTATGGGCAGCCTGCAGTATTAGTAGATAAAATAAGATACATCAAAAGAGGGTCAGATAAACGCTCGAGCAACGAATTGATTCTAAGAAAGCAGCTACCAGTAGCTAAAGGACATGGAGGGGAATCATCATCATTCAACAGGCTTACCAAACTGGTTCATAAAGCCCGGAATGACACGGTGGAAGTGCTGCACAAGCAGAAAGAAACAAGAGAAGCGAGGAAGCGTGTCGACAAGGATGAGAATGATTTCTTCTACTAGTATCAACCAAGATCCCATCTTCCATGGATTGCCTTTGCTTGCCCCTTCTATTCTTACTTACAATTCCATCATAGAAGCCACTGTTGGCCAAATCAATGAAATTGCCAACCTAAATTGATTAAAATGAAATGAAACGAACAATTTATCTTGGTGAGAAGATCATACATGTACGGTGAGTACGAGATACCCCCCCCTCAACAAACAGAGTCTCACGGTGATTGGCATCTTGTCAGCGTACAGATCCGCTTTGAAGGTACCCATCGAGGTTTGGAAAGTAGCGACCGGCATGGTGATACTGGTTGGTTTATGGTTTCTCTTTCAGATAAATGGCTTACTGGCTTGATAGATAGTAGTAGTAAACTTGCTGTGTCTTGCGCTGTTTTGTTGTGAGAAGGAGCCTTCAAATTATTGGAAGCCAAGAAAGATATTGGATCTTCCCTCCACCCCGGCAGGTCATGGTCATCCGCCAATCAAGAGGCCACGCATCGTTTGGTTGACATTGAACGGAAGGAAGGACTGGACCCACACACAACTCCTCCCCTTTTCTCGGTTGTACTTTGACTCTGCGAAGGTCTCATAGTGTCCTTCACATATTTTTGGTTCGGTCTGTTTCAGATTCCGAAACAAATAATTGTATTATATGATTACAATTAGAAATATTTAATACTAAAAGTAGGAGCAGGACCCTTTTTAGGAAATATTATTTCGTTTTCTTTCATTTTTTAAAACCTCCCAGAAGAATGTTTAATCATTGATTCATAGACATACTAGCTAGTAGTCATTTTTAGCTCAACGAGAATTTTGATTAACTCCTGATCGTGTGCTTCAACTTTTCCTACTCAAGAGTATTAAGTGAATCACTGTGTTTAAGTGATTGAAAAGATAACAGTTCAATTTGGTTTAATAAGAATGTTTAACTAGTTTTAATACCTTCCCAAGTAAGTACTATAATAAATCATTCGGAGATCTCTGTTAATTACTATCGCAACATTCCAGTATTTCATTGAATTCAATTGAATATAATTATGTTCGAAATCACTCTGGACCGAACCCGAAAATCGTTGCAGAGACACTGCTGGTATACCATGCGACCATCGAGTTCGTCTCTTCGTCCACCCCAGTAAATGATGTACCTGTATAACAACCCTGGAATGGGTGATGTATGTGCTTTCAAGCCTGCGACCAGTTGAACTTTGTGTCACAGTTCTTGCACCGCATGTGATCGCACCCTCCATTCTTTGTGATGGGTGTCGCACAGTGAGGGCAGGGCTTGGTGATTTGCCCGACTCGTTCCTTCTCCAAAAGTTCGGTCAATCGGCTGTCGGCTTGGGAATTGAGGCGTTTCCAGTCTTCCAGTTTCTCCCGCATCTCTGCCGATTGGATCATCTCGCGTAACACACGCTGGCAGCCTCCTTCATGGGCAGGGCCCGCTTTGTGGTCCACGACGGGGCAGCTGAGGCAAAACGCACTGTGGCAGACGGGGCAGAGAAACAAGGTCCCATTCTTTGGGTCTGGTTCAAAGTGGAAAATGTAGTTGCACTTTTCGGCCGGACAGCGACAAGTACCGGAGTACGTGGTGGTCTTGGAAGACGACGCTGCCTTGTCCAGGAAAACCTGCGTTGCCAGCTCCTCGTACTCTTGCCAAATCTTCGAATCCCCGACCTCCAGCGTGGAACGACGTACGTCGTTGCATTCAAGTGGCCAGTGGCAGTTTGAATCGGGACACGGCAATTCCACTGTCTTGTCTGAAACCTGGCTAGACACGTATCCCCGCATACACTCTTTGCAGTACACATGGTGACACTTTTCTAGCTGAATGCCATTGTCCCAAGGAACCTGCTCCAGGCATACGGAACACTCAAACCATGCATCGGACAACTCTTCTGTCATAACAATATTACTCGTGCTCGCCATGATGCCCTACGGTATCCCGAAGAAAGAGGCGAAAGTGAGACAGAGCGGCTGGATTGGCAAGATATTTCACGTCGTGGCCTCTCCGAAATCACGAGTGAGCATGTGCACCGGAGGGGGCTTTCGTGGTCCGAACGAGTCTCAGTCCCGAGAGCCACAAACGAGTGTGTCGTGGTGGTGGGAGAGCATTCGTGTATTCCGACGTCGACCAAAAGCAAGCTCGCACCCACACAAAACTCAAATCCAAGGGATCATCAGAACCAAAACCATGAGTGGCACTCATTCAACCCTACGGCATGGATGCAAAAGCATTAGGTACCGGTACCCTAACAGAACTCAACGCCAGTAAAGAAAGCCACTGATGGACTTTGCTATGGTTTTTGCACAGGACACCAAACACTGACAACAACAAGAGGCATCCTTTGCTCCCCCAAAAGATTTAATATCTTCTAGTCTATCGGACATGGATCACAGTGACATCCACAATCCACAGAGCAGAGTTCCCTGGCATATTGGAGTTTCACTCTGTTTCTGATACTTCTCATAACCATAGTACCTGATAGTTTGCTGGTACATTTTGCCACACAGGTTTTCAGGAATGCTACCCCATAATGATGTGTTTGTGACAACAAGGCTTGTCAAATGTCCCAACTGAAGTAGTTCTGTGGGAAGTGCACCAGAGAGGTTGGTATTCTGTATTTCCAGCATCTTTACCGGTAGGCTTGACAGCAGGCCAACTTCGGTTGGAACTGTGCCAAGCTCGGAAGGAATAGACCCCAATAAATTGGTATAGAGCCCCTAAGGCGTTGCAGAATCAGCCTCAAAAGTTCCAAGCTCTTGCCAAGAAAAGATATCTCAGGTGGAATAGTTCCATGCATGTTGTTGGCATTGGAGGCCCTCTTTCGAACTACATGTATCTCTTCTAGAATGGCAAAGTCGCCGTCCTCATCAACTACTTGATGATAAGGCATCATGACGCAGATGACAGGAGCAAACCAAAAAGAAGTGCCGAGAATATCAGATATCGGTGTCGGCGGCTGCAGCGATGGAAACTCTGCTCAGAGCTTGTGTGGGTTCTCCAGTGCTCCGCATGAACGCACACACACGGTACGGTACAGAACGGTGCCATTTAATTAAGTCTTCTTCAAAAACAGAACGACGGCAGGTTCTTGACTTCAGTCGAGTGACTCGACTACTAGCTAGAGTGACAGTCAGCTTCGAGGGGGTTATTGCATTCCTTGAATGCTGGATCTCTGAAGCTTTTAATATCACATTCCTTGAATGCTGGATCTCTGAAGCTTTTAATTCGTACGGTGGGGTACGGTGCGGTGCGGTACCGTAAGGTGCGGTCCGGAAATCGTCAATAATATGTGCTGATGTTGCCCAGGGACTAAGGTCTTTGCACCCAAGCAAACCCCTCATCATGCATGGCAACAAAAAGGCCAGGGTAAGTTCAAGGTTCTCTCTCTCCCAGGTTGACACTGTGCTGGGCTTATTTCTTGAACAATAGTTGAGCTCATCGTTGTCCATGCAACTCCAGCCACGTTTCGCTTAAACTGTGTAGACTCCAGATTCCGGGCTAAGGTTGCTGACTCCGGGTGCACCAAGTCCTTCTTGGGCACCATTCCCTTTGTCTGATGCAAAGGTCACGAGCAACATCACTGGAAGCACTATGAAACTCACTGATTACATATTTAATTTTCTTTCTGGTCTATGTATGTATACGCACTCGAACAAGTTTGTGTACTTTCTTGATACCCCAAGAGCATCCGTTGTCTTCGTGTTTGCGGCACTGTATGCAATCCACGTAAACTCTCAGATGTACTGGCAAGCCCAGGCTTTGATCAACAAAACCAATGACACCATTGCCAACGACAGTATTAGGTCGCGTACGCCACATCATCCTTGAACGCAACGGTGGGATGATCGTCCTGGAATAGTGTTTCGATCTCGGTGTCATCATCATCAGACTTTTTGTTTTCTTTGGTCAAGCCTTCCGCCACCCAGTAGGTGGTCATCTGCAGGGATTGGAGTCACAAGGGAAAAGCGAGGAGTGAGAACAAAAGCTGTCTCTACGATGGTTTGGTTCCGTGGAAAAGATGCGATTAATGCGCTTACCTGACCCTTCCCCTTCACGGCAATCTTTCCTCTGCGGATCAATGGAATTTCCGGTGCTTGGTCTTTCAAGAGTGCCGCCGAGGCATCGGAACAGTGGATCTTTCCACTGTACGAGTTGCTCTCCATTCGAGATGCGGTGTTCACCGTATCACCAAACAATCCATCTGTCCGCCAAGGAATCCCAATTGCAAGTTTGGGTGAGAATTGGATTGCTTCGGAATGGACAAGGTGGCAGGGGGTAGGACTTACAGCGAGGATTGAGTGAACCAATGACATTCGACACCACAGGACCCTGAGTGAAGACAATATCAAAATCAAGTTATCAGTACAAGAGCTGCAAACGTGAAGAGCATCACCAACATGCCGAAAACGAACTTACCGAGTGGAAACCGGCGCGGATGCGGACGAAGCCCTTCTTAGGGTCGTCCTCGTCGATCAGAACCCTGCCAGATGCTTTAACTGCTGCAATGGCAAACTCTGCGATCTGCTTGACATGAGAATCGTCCTGGTTATTTTCCACTTGGCAAGATAAAAGAGAAGGGTGGATTGAGCAAAGCAGGTGTTGTGCAGTCGAATTGGCAAGCGAGCAGCCTTTGAGCTTACGATTTGTGACTCCCATCCATGCGTCTCCGATCTGAAGGAGTGCAAAGCAAAGTGGTTCCGTAAGGTTTCCATCAACATCCAGTAGCCAGCGAGAACAACAACTGTACTTACCGTTTCTACTTTGAACACGTTGTGGGTCGTAGCGAGTTTGTCAAAGGCAAGATAAAGTCGGTCCAACATGGCGCAAACCTTGACCGGGCTCAACATACGTGAGATGTCCGTGAAATGGACAATGTCAGAGAAGAAGACGGTCACAGTCGGGTGTGTTTCGCTGAAAAGCCAAAAGAGCAAAACGCTGAGAACGCCATGCTATAGAAACAGGGCGACGCTTTCTCCAGTGCTATACTTACGGTTCGACTTTCTGACCAGCCTTGAGCTTGTCGGCGACCTTTCGGGGAAAGACCTGGTACAACATATCTCCTGTCGCGACTTGTGTCCTTACTCGTGCTGTCTCTTCAATCACGGGTTCTGCCTCGCGTGGGGCCATGTCAAGGAACAGGATATCGAGGTCCTTGGCGGTAGGACGGAAGAAAGGGTCGGGACTCCAACATTTTTGCATAATGTCTGCCATCTTTACGGGACAGGTGTTGGGCACTGGGGGCCTCTTGTTAACCCTTGGGTCACAGATCTTTCGCAACACCTTCCTCGGATGCTCCCCACCGTACGGGTCCTTCCTGCCATAGATTTCGTACATGATAATGCCGAAGCTGTAGATATCGCACGAAGGATTGTACTCAGATTTGCCGCGCAAGTACTCAGGTGCCATCCAAAACGGCGTTCCAGACAAGCCGTTCTTCTTCTTGGTCGACAGCCTGTTAGTTCGACAGGAAGAAACGACTTGTTTTTAGAATCCATGTCGCAAAGAAGCGAGCTTGGTGACTTTCTCAGTCGACTTCGTTTGCACTTACCCAAAGTCAGCAACCTTAGCCCGGAATCTGGAGTCTACACGAATCGTGGAATTGCATGGAAAACGATGAGCTCAACTACTGCTCAAGATAAAAGGCCACAGTGTCAACCTATGGGGGAGCCTTGAACTTACCAATCAGAATATTCTTGGCCTGATGAGAGGGAGGAAGCCAACCACGAGAACTATGAGTTCAAAGGACAGTTGCAACTGGGTTTGGAGAGGACAGCGACTGATGTAGCGTACCTTCATGTCTCCATGCATGATGGGGGGTTTGCTTGCATGCAAGAACCTTAGTCCCTGGGCAACATCACGACATATTTGCATGATAACTTCACCGCCCGTATACATTGTGTCGTTTCGTAAAAGATCGTATCTGAGCGACGTGCAAAGCAGGCAACTGTGTCAGCGCCATAACGTCCACGCCATGGCGATCCGTCGAAGACAAGCAAACACTCACAAAGACCCGTTCTCCATGTATTCCATCACCATCATTGGTTCACAGCCCCTTGACATAACTGCACCCATCACGGTTGTGATGCCTAAAAACGATTGTTGCGATAAAAGACGGGGATGGATGAGTGACTGTCACAAGGAAGGAACAAAACCAAAACGAACAAGACACAATCTGTAAACTCACAAGGATGGCGAAGCCTGGAAAGCAGTCTCATTTCAAGTTCGAATTCATGCTTGCGACGGGCATGCTCGTCAAGCCAAGGACAGAAGAAAGCAACCACTGTTTTTGTCGACGAAGAATTGTGCGAGCCTGAGGCAGAGCCAAGGATACTAGCATTGTACCTAGCCTCTCCATTAGGATCAAGCCAAGGGAACCATTTGGCCCACTTGCTGCGACGTCGCCCGGCACTCAATCGACCCAAGAAGTCCAGGTCGCTATCAGTTTCATCTTCGTCGTCATCGCTGCGAGAGAAACCAACGCTGTCCGTATTCGGGTCCATTGAGTTACTAGCGTTGTCATGGGGTGCCTCAATGTCCCCTGAATCTTCGCTGTTTGAAGAAATCTTTCCAGCTGCCAGTGACTCTATTGATAGATTTCCTTTCGATCCTTTTGCTTTCGCTACATTCGGCTGTCGGTTGGGCAAAATCCTCTTGATGGCAACCTTGGTTCCTATTGAGAAGAGAACAAGACGGGCGTGAGCAGTTGACGTCCGAGCTCGGATGGAAATTCGCACAAATTGCAAACATATAGTCTTACCCCGGTACTCTGCAAGCAGGACAACACCGAATGCACCCTGGCCTACGACTTCGGGAGGTTGACTGGAGAGAGCACTTGTTAGGACACACAGAGAACTCTTTTCGTAACACTACAATTGGCAATACAAACATAGAGTATCACGTACCTGAAGTGCAATTCCTCCGTATTGACCTGCCACACCTCATCGCTCTTCGCCTTTCTGTAACCCAAGTAACAGTAGAGGAGTTCACAAGCAATCACCAAGCCGACACTGGAGATAATTATTGCAAGGATAGTGGTGGGCATACAATCACCATTTATTTCGACGTGACCAGAACCACATTCGCAGTCGCCAACTGTTGTCTGTATATTGAAAAAGCACCAACAACATATGTGTGAGTTGGAGCATTACGAATCGCGATGGCGCTGATCTGGTATATCGCACTCACCGAGACTTTGCGTTGACCCGGAAAGTCAGCTTCACAGTTCCGAGGAACAATTTGCACTCTGAATGGGGATTCGGGGATCTGTTCCTCATTTGCAAAGACCTCCAAGACCGCAATTCCAACCTCGTCATGGGTGAACTCGAATTCGTAGGCGTAACTCGAGTTGGTACCAGTGGCATTTCGGACGTCCAGCGGTTTGGACTCATGACCGACATGCATGAAGGCAGTGAACCTGGCACCATCTCGCTCGAGGTTGTCATAGGCTCGGAAGGTGGCAACTCGCGTCTGCTCGACAGATGCGCACAAACTCATCTTGTCGCAACCTGCTTGGTGGATGGTACCATTGTGCCACTGCATGACATCCACTTCGTAGGCTTTAACACATGGTCGACAGTAACACTGATGACCGCTGCCGCAAGGCAAGCCCGATTGGCTGCACTGCTTGAGAAAGTCGCGCTCTTTAACCTTGTAGTAACCATGGGGGCAAACAATTCCCTCATACAGGGTCGAGGCTCTCGAGCATTGCCAGTCACCTGTGAAAAAGTACCGAGTGCCAAGGAATACTACGAATGAGGCAATGCGCTTTCAAAAGCATTACATGTACAAGATGAAGGGTTCTGCAGTACACATACCATGCTCGTTCTCCCTCAGGAACCCAGCTGACTGTTGCATAGTCCGCAGCTCAAAATGGGATCGTGCCGGTCGGAAACCATTGTGGCGACCTGCTACGCCGGCCTGGTACGCCATTTCAGCCAGTTCCCTCGTGGTATCGCATCTGGCCGTAGGGTCAAAGTACACGGGAGGAGCCGTGTCGCAAATAGTCCTATCCGGAACTGTGCAATTTGGGTCAATCATAGTATTGCAAAATGCCTCCCTGCAATCGTGAATGGCATCACCGACCACCTTGTGGTACTCAAAGTTGATGAGGGCAACTGCAACCTCCTCCGATACCATCCTGTCCACATTCTGCTTGGCAAACAGGGGCCACTCGGGAAAGACGGGGGTAGAGTGAAGGAAAGGGAACAAATCTCCCGTGTCCATGACATAAATCTTGGGCTCGATGACCTTGAATAGGTTGGGGTCAAGAAAGGTTCCGTTGATGTCCCTTGTTCTCTCAACCTGCCCCGTTCTCACAAAGCCAACATCCCAGCGTCCATCGAGCACACCCTTGACAATCTCATCTTCGTTATCTACAACAAAAAGCGTTTCAAAGGATGAGAAAACTGTGACCTGATGCAGAATAACGTTTCTCTCGATCCTGACCTGCTTACCTGTGAAGATGACTTGTTTTGGGTCCATAATGTAGTTCAAGTTGCTCTCATACATTGCATAAAACTGCACCTGACCTCCAGCAAAGTCTGAAATCGACACTGCTGCAATGATCTTGTTCTTGATGTCCTTAATGGAGTTTATGGCCTTGTTCTCGGCCCTCGTCAGGATCACACCTAGGAATAGGCGGAGCAAGAGAAAAGGAATAAAGTGCAACGTGAGAACAGAAGAACTCTTTGATGGTCCTGATTGATTCAATCAAAAGATCAGGTATGAAACCATGAGCTTACCTCCCAACATGTCCAAGTTGTAGCTTCTTCCTCTGGCAGTAAGATGCGAGATTGTGGTGCCGAGGGGCTGCCCCCCAATTTCCGTGCCAATGCACGAGTACAATCCACTGAAGAAAGTCCAGCACAATCAGCACAATCCAAATTGAGATACACACTTTTCACAGCACGACCCCGGGCTGTTGGTATACTTACGTGTCCGAGTACATGAAATCGACATCTGCATTCTTGTCGACCCAATCACGTAGAGGGTCCATGGTGGGAACCATCTTGAATTCAATGGGAGGAATCCAGCGGCGCCCCACCGCATGGGTGAGATACGTCTCGAACGTCAGATTGAACTCCTTGCGTGCCGTTTCCAGCCCGTTCGGAGCATGGACTCCAACTCGGTAGATCTTCTTTTGAGTCAGCGGATCAAACTGACGAAAGCCATGCGCACAGTTCAACTGTCCTTGAGGCCAATGATCATCCTGACCCAACACTAGCGGGACCAGGCAAAGAACGACACTCAGGATCCGAGCTGTCATTGCGGCGGGGCACTTCATCATTTGCGATGATTTCTTTTTTCAATTTTTCTTTTCAAGTATCTTTTTTTGTTTTGCTTTGGGAGCGAATTGAAGTGAAAGCTTTGGGCTTGTTTTGTGAGCACCATGCATAGCTGCACCAGACAAACTCATCATAGCTCCGTAGCTGCTCCTTCGTCCTCATCCTCTCCGAGATTCCGAACTGCAACCGCTATCGAAAGATCGAATGGTCTCGGTTGCGAGGCTGTTCGCGATGAAAAGAGCTGAACGAGAACGCGGCGAAAGAGAACTTGACTCACCATTCTGCGAATGCAAGTGCGGCTCTCAGTGTTTAATGGTCAGGTCTTTTTTGTGACAGCTCGTTCGCATTGATATTCAGCATTCCTTAGAAAAAGAAGACCAACTGACAGCCTTTTAACCACCAGAAGACTTTCGGGCTTTCGGGAAATCTGTTTGTTCCTGACGAACCCTGGAGCGAGGAAAAGCACCCTGTAAGTAGGGGTTTCGTACCCTAAGCATCAGAAACTTGAAGAGAACCCCAACCAACCAGCCAAATGGCGGCAGTACCGAAACCCTGAATCTGCAGTTGCAGATACATGTAGGATGCCGAACTTGAGTTGCTGTTGTTGCCCACTTGCTGGCACCGATACCGCTGTAGCTAGCTGGCTACGAGTACTGGTAGCAAATTGGCCAAGCTCATGCTGGTGCTAGCTTCCAGGTACTAGCTAGTCTAGAGTGCCGGTACGGTTTACCAGGTACCGTACCGGTACGCTGTACATGATGATACATCCACTCAGGAGCTGGTGGCACAAAATATCCGATCCAAAACTGTATTGGAATCGCATTCATAAGTCACACCAACCAGCTCTCCAGCCAACTTCTTTTTCTTGAGGCCATTGTTCTCGACTCTCGACCAACGAGACCTAATAAGCAGGTGCTTGAGCCAATATCCCAAATCCTGGCGCCTTGCCAAGCCTTCAGCTGCAGTGTTGCCAGGCTGCAGTGTTGCCTGGACTGTCAGTTCGGGTTACCTATCAGAATGGAATCCTCCCTCTAGCTAGAGAACCGAAGCGTCAAAAGTAAGTTCACTTGCCACAGGATCCAGCCGAGGCACTAGCAGTGTCATCATGTGTCATGCTGGGACGTACCACCACATCATGGAAAGAACCGACGCACTCTTCCAGGGTTTTACAACTAATTACATGTATTGTTGATATGTTGATAGCTAGGAGTTTTAGGACCTGGCTGTCCAGCTCCTCCTGTATGTGTTACAGTGTACATTCGCTCCCCTGCATGCTGGCTGGGAGCAGCATGCAGCCAGGGGAGCGAATGCCTACCGGTACCCTCCGCTGGAAGCACAGTAGTCAGTAGTCGCAGGAGCTACCACTACTAGTAGTAGCCAGCTTCTAGCAAAGAACGCGCCAAGTGGTGGCCACATGGAGGAGCGAGCTAGCAAGGAAGAAAGGAACAGAATCTGCAATCCCAATGGGTTGGGCCTGCGACAGCCTTATTCTTCCAGATATTGTCTCGTATTTCAGCTCGTATGTCAAGGGCGCTTTTGCACTCTCTGGATGGGTGGTGCATAATATTATCAAAACAACCTTCATGATGTACCGTATCCACCAGGAGGTCAACCAAGTGAGCCCTCATCCGTAACTTCAAAACGGGGCAAGAAGCTTTTTGCCTTGCTGCTCTGCAAAGTGAGCTGGCGCCCTCGTCATGCTGCTGGTCATCGCTCTGTGCTGCGAGGTCATCGCGAGCCTCTTTTGTTACGAAGCGCGCCGTCCGAGACTGTTTGTGTTCAGGTAGATGTGGTAATAAATGTTTCCTTCAAAATACAGACAAAACGTTTAACATTAACCCAATATTTACCTAAGCTACCCATAGCCATCTAACTCTTCGTCCTCGAAAGGCACCTCTTACATACCGGTTGTCAAGGGGGTCTAGGCATACGGTACACCGGTACATGTACATAGATGCTTTGGCTGGCAACCATAGCAACTACCAGGTACCATAGCTCGATCTTACCATACCTGTACAAAGGAAGGGGGGGTGTACCTGTACAAATCCTTAGATTGCTAATTGGCGTCACACCCTCTCAGGAGGCCATGCAGTGTGGCCGGTGAACAGACTTGACTGTGGGAAACACCTGAGCCTTGGCTATTTTGGGTTGTCTTCAAGCACCTCCCATCTGATTCTTTTAAAATAATAGGCTGTTGAGTCGAGTCTTTGGGAAGGGAGGCACTGGTACGTTGGGCTTTGCCTCGTCTCAAGATTTTGTCCAGCGGGAACGGATTCGTTGGTACTGGGACCATCTGTATTGTACATGGATGGGCCCATGATGCTCTTTCGTTTGTGGACAAAGACGTCTTTTGGAGTCTCTATGTATATTGGGTATCAGAGCGAGATTGAAGTGTCCGAGTGGCCGTAGCGTGGGTTGGTGCGAGGCAGACTGGTCCGTGGCCATTGGCATGATTTGCAGCCGAGGAGAAGACAGACTCGACTCGACTTGATCCTGATGAGTGTTGCCCAAAATTCGGTGCGCAGTCCATCCAGCAATCAAGTTGCCCAAAAATCGAGAGCAGCCTGCAAGCTTTGGCTGTGGTATCTGTGGTTCGTTGCCTCGCGGATCGGCATGGTCGACGCTTGAAGAAAAAATGGTCTTTGTTTGGGCGGGGATATTATATATAGATGCCGGTCCTGAATTCCGAGGCTTCCACAGGTGTTTCGACCTCGATAATACGAGTTGGTGGTGCATTGGGAGGAGTGTCGTGTCCACTAATTATCTGGTAAAAGATCCAAGCTTGTCAGCTGCGGCTGTGGATTGTGATTCTTTCTCTCCGAGTGTTCAGGATTGTCTTGTGTTGGGGGATTTCTGGAATGATTTCCTTCAGGATCCTCCAAGTCAAGTCACGTCAGCCAGGGTGTTCTTCTCTGAAAAGTATTGAAGCACTAGCTAACTAACTAACTAAGTAGCTGGCTAACTAGGGATCAATACCTCGCCTGCGTATTATCGCTTGATGACTGAACGAAGAGGCACGGGGCCGAGCAAATGCTGTGGCAGTGGTGGAAGAGTTGCCGGTGGACACGGTTGACACGGACGTGTGGGAAATAGTGGACCCCCTCCGATTGCTTTCTTGACCAAAGAGGAGTTTCAGTCGATTCCTCTTAAGTGTGTCCCGAATGGCATGGCCACACTTTTCCCTTGCCTTTATGTTTCCCACGTCGACCCATCGTCCCTCATCTGTCTGTCGCAAAAAGTGCCCATCGTAGTCTCGCACCGCATTGATAATCTCCTTGACAATATCGGATTTGTCCTGGCGCGCGGTACAGCGATTGTACTGCTGGAGACGCAGTTCCATCAAGACCTTAAACCGCTCATTGCCCGGATGGGTCAAGGTTTCTTTCTTGTTCCCGCAAATCACATCACAGGGTTGGAGTTGGTAATGGTGCGGCATTTCAACTTCGCCCTTTTCAAAGTCGCGGTCTTTGGCTCTCTTTACTGACTTCAGCTTGTTTAGTTTCGTAGGAAAGGGCGCTTGCGGCATGGGATAGTGCAAATCCTCTGCCAACGCTACTAGCTCGAGTCGTTGCGTTGTCACTGCTGCAGGCTGGACCACCGGTGGCACTTCAAGTTGCACTACTTTCTGGACCTGCGGCGCTACTTGCGGCAAGGGAAACTCGTCGCCACCTCGTGCATCCGCTACCGGTACTGGCTGGTGCACTGGCTGTTGCTGGGCAGCCTCTCCTTCCGCTGCCTGCTCCCCTACCGGTACTTCTATGCCTTCCTCTTCTTGGCCTTCCTCGACCTTGACCTGCGGCAATACTTCTACATTGTCATAGTAGTCTTCATGACTCCCGCGGTACCACCCAGGAGGATCCATGACACTCACCTCCGTTGTATCGTTGCCTGGTACTTTAGGATTGTGGGAATCTGCGCCTCTTGTTTTAATGTTGAGGTAAGAATAACACGGTACTGTGGAGCATACCCATAGAACCAACTCTTGTTTTAAATAGAAACATTGAAGATCACGTCATTGATCTCTGTGGTCATCGCTGGGCTCTGGCTGACTGCTGCTTGGCGGTACCATGGTCACGAGGTGATGCCTTTTCTCAAGGACCAAACGCCAAAGCCGCACAGTGGCCCTATTAATAATCGCAAAAACGTCGCAGTAAAGATCGCATGGAAGTCGCACGGAAGTCACGTAAGAATGAAAAGTATATTGAAGTACGTACGTTAATGTCGCATTAAGATCGCATACGAATCGCGTACTTTAAAAACTTGCGGCAAGTTAGCGATAGGGCTTTAGCAAGGCCACAACCCGGGACTAGCTAGCAGTCCTATACGCACCAAGCAGCAACTTCGGGAATGTCTGCGTATCCGAAACGTCTACGTATCCATAACGCTTGGGACTCTCAGAGCGGATGCCAATAAGCCGGTACGATGGCGGAACAGGTTTCGGGGCGCGATGGAGCGATCGAGTGCCAGTTGCGTTATCAAGTCTGCGTGTCCGGCTGCATGGCTATGGTGCCGAATTGAAGAGCCAGCGGTCCCCTTTAGAATGCCGCACTATCAATATGCAAATCAATACCGGTAGCTAGTCGGGGTTAAGAGTATTTGAGTTCCAAAAACTCCTTCCAGAGGACCTCAAGACAGCTGTCGTTGCTTCTTGAGTCCTCTCGATCCACAGGCCAGGCCAGACAACGGCAACCAAGTACCGTGCGAAACCACACAAAGAATGACGAGCGAGAAGATTTTCTGGAAATGAAGGCCGTCGCCTGTTCGGTACCTACCCGCCCAGGAAGGATGCTTGCTTTGGGTGGAAGCCAACTAGTAATAACTGGATAACCATAAGTCGATGACACGAGGCTGATGAAAGCCAACGAGAGATTCCAACTATACCATCCTCGGATCCTGGGCCACATGATCTCGATTCGAGCTGTAATGGCTACCCAACTAGCTAGAGATGTCAACCACGCCGGATTACATCATTACTGGTCTTTGCTACTTTCGTGCTTTACTTGCATCTACGTGTACTTTGCTTTTCATGAGTCCGCTGCGATACAAATCTACGAGATAGTGCCACCGATGCGACGGGTGCGGTCACTTGACTAGCCAAGTTAGGCCTCGGGTTGCTCCACTTCCTTTGACCAGTCCTCAGATGAGGGTCCGCTGTGCTTGAACTTGTCGCTAGAAGTGGACAAGAGGAGCTCACTCTCACCGATGGAAATGCAGGGGAACACTCCCTTGGACGAAATAATGTCGTCCTGGAACACAATCATTGTTGCTGATCCGTTGATGGAAAACGCAATCTTTCCGAGCTTGGTATTGACAGCCAGCCCAATCACATCACCCTTCTTCAACTTGGCACCAAAATCGACGGACTTTCTGTCGCCATCATTCCATACCTCTTGACGAATGCCACACACACCCCAAGTCTCCTTTGTGTCGCCACAGCCGTCGCTCCGCTTCATATCAGCCGCATCCAAACCACCAGGAGCAGAAAAACCAATCTGGGAACAGGCGTAGTCTCCAAGCTCCAACAGCTCAATCTCATAGTAAAAGACACCATTTTCAGTGCAACTTGGATAGTTGCTGGGTGTATCCACTGAAATTAGGGTTTCGGGCATTCCGAAGGTCATCCATCCAGGGATCTTGACAGTGCGCTCTGCTGGTTTCTGTTCCGTTCCCCGAGGCGAGCCCAACAACCTTCGAATAACAGGAAGGCCCATGTCCTTCTGGAGTTGCTCGTATTGGGCATCCCTTTCCTTGAACATGTCTGCCATCTTCTCCTTTCCAGTGGCAATGCTTTCCTTGTTCCATGGGAAGCCATAATAGCTAGACTCTTCAATGGCATTCTGGGCTCCTCCTTCCACTTGGATGTGGGCCCCGTCTTTCTTCATGAGAAAGACTGCATGGCCATATTTTGGCTCCATGGCATTCCTAACGGAACGACGGAGCTCATCATTGGTCAAATCAATAGCCATGAATTGTGTTTTGCTGTTGGTGGTGATCATTTTGGCGTATGCCTTGTTCAATTCTTCCGTTTTCCATTCGGGAGCAACAAAGACAACCTCCATCTTCGTCTTTTGACCGGGCTGGTTCAATTGCTCGAAGCAAGTGGCCAAGTCACTGGCCAAAGATTCGTCTGGTGAAAAAAGAAGAGCAATGACGCCATCCGTGTCATCCAGTTCCCGTAGCCTAGTCACAACAGCCTCTTCAGCCTTGCTGTCTCCAATTTGGACGTGCTTTAGCAAGAATGATTCGAGTGACTCTTCCATCTTGCTCTTCACGTCATCAGCGCGGGCCTTTTCAGCAGCTTTGGCTTGGTCAACAAGCTCTGTGGTCCAAGGAAAGAATTTGGCACCATGCTGTCCACAGTTCTGCATGTACTCATCCACAGAGACCATCTCCACTTTGGGAACAGAACGCGAGGTGCAGACGCCATCCAACCCACATTCGTCCACCTTCAGCATTGTTTGCTGGACAACCACAAGACTGTCATACATAAGATCCTTGCCAGTCATACCAACCAGCAAACTAATGATGTCAGTGGAAGGCTTGTCCTGAAAGTGGAACAACTGATGGGAATTCTCGACTGGAGCCTCGTCATCTTTGTCTGCCCATGGAGGCAAGAAACACTCCGGCACATAAACCACAGCCAACTTGTTGCCAGCTCCACCAGCATTGACCTCGTTCAATGTCTTGACCTGGCTTGGTAGATCACTCAGCCCAGCATTGCAACCCAACAGAAGACCCACATAGTCATAATCGGATAGAAGCTGGCCAAACGAAAATGTGTCTCCTGCTGCTGGCTTGCTGCCTTCCTTGGGAGGAAGGATGGCATTGGGTAGAGTCAGCAACTCGGCCAAAGCCTTTTGCTGCTTGGCATCAGCAGAATCCTTGCACCTCTTGGAGGATGCCTCCGACAATGGAAACGCGAGAGAGCCATAACCCGAAACCATTTCACGAGGACTCATCAGCCATTTCTTCTCCACCGACGATTTCTTCTCTTCCTCCTCCTCATTGTCGTCGTCGTCTTCAGCAAAATTGTCCAAGCGCTCACCAGTCTTGGCATCAATAATCACCAAGGCAGGGATTCCTTGGACTTTGTATCGCTCATCGAGTCCCTCCTTGACCTTTTGTGTCTCTAGGTAGTTCAAGGCCGGAAATGTCATTTCGCCGTGATACTCCTTGAATGCCTCTTCATCACTGTCCGAAGAGACAAAGACAAGCTCAAAGCTCTCATCGATATTTCCAGAGTCCTTGTACTCCTGGTGCGCCTTGGCGAGCTTGGGGGTGAAAGCGCGGCATGGAGGACACCAGTGGGCGCTACCGGTGCATACAGGGTGAGAGAAGAATCACGAGAGACAATTGTGAGAAAGCCAATCCAACGATCCATACCGTACGCAGAAACAAAGAAACAAGGAGTTGTGTATGTTTACCTGAAGTAGAGGGCAATGGTGGCTTTTTTGCCAGCCCATTCGGATCCAATGTCGATGACATTGCCATCGGCGGACACTGCTTTGGGACCTAGGAGGTCCGTCAAGGAAAAAGGACTGGTTGAGCTGCTTGCGTTCGACATCTTTGCTTTTGTTTTGGATTGGTTGTTTTTATTGTTCGTGTCGTTTGAATGTTTCTTCTGGAGACAAAAGATTGTGAGACCTTCCGATGCTCCAAGTTCTCACATCATGCATGCATCATGCCTAACCACGTTCTGCGCTACAGGGCTTGATGGAAACCCGTGACACGAGAAAGCAGGAACCAGGGTTGACGTGACTGGTGGGGCCCAGGTTGCTGAAACGTGGATAGGGGAAAGATACAAGTCGCGAGTCTTCAGTCATGGACAGTTGTCACAGGCAAACAACCTATGTAGCAGTCTAGCTAGAAGAGAACAGGGCAAAGTTCTTCGTTGTGTGGGCAGACCCCACCCATGGTACCATCATTGTGTCATCCATTTCGGGAAGTCACGGTTGAGGAAATCCGGCAACATTTGCCCCTTCCACGGGATACCATTCATGTATATCGCCATTGCGAGGACGACCAAGCGAGAAATGCTCAGACCATCCAGCTTTGTCTTTCCCAGCGAAGAAGTCGAAACTCAATGGGAGCATGTCAAGACAATTCAGCAGGAAGATTTCTGCCGTGTGCTGACGCACTGTGGTTCTACCCTTCTCTTCAAGGCTTGCTCAAGACTCACTTCCGTGGAGGTTTTGGAGTACATTTGTAATGCACACCCTGAGGCAATGCAACGTTCTGATGTTTATCGAAAGCTGCCTTTGCACCAAGCTTGTGAAGTTGATGCGTAGGGGGGTGAAAGAATTCGGTTTCCTTATGCAAAGATATCCAGAAGCACTCAGGCGTCGCTCCAGTTCTCGGCATGCCACTCCATCATTTGCTTGATAAAAATCCAAGCCTACATACCCAGAAGCACTGCAGATCCATGGTAGCAGTGGTTGCTTCCACTTCACGCAGCGTGCTCGTGGCACTCACACCCGGATGTCATTCAATACCTTGTCTCCCAGTATCCAGCAGCACTACCGGTACGAGAGCCTGATACCTCATTCCTTGAGTTTGAAATTTTTCGTAATGGATATGCTGGAGCGAAGGATGGTACTGCTGCGACCCTTCCCTGAGGCACTCTTGGATTCGGAGACACTGCTGGAGAAACTTCACCGGGAGTTTACTGATTTCCCTCAGCTTCAAATACGGGATAGAATCCTCGAGTTCGCTCCCATGGCTAAACGAGAAATATACCTGACCAAATCCTTGGAATGGCTTGATATCAACTGTGAATCCTTGCAAGCCCTTCGAGCATTGGCGGCAGTGGCTCTCCTTCATCCAACACAACCTCTGCTCCATGAATGCACTGTGCATCTGGAATCATGGTCCCAGTCACAAAGGGTCGCAGCTCGTCAGGAGCTCCAGAGGGTTTCTGATTCGCTCGATGAAATGATGGAAGATGCCCGAAGATTTGATGAAGAGAATGACCTCGAAGACTACTATTAATAGGTGGCTAGTTTCTTTATTGTAGAGTTGCAATGCAGAAACTATACTAACGCCCAGGATGCCAAATGCGGATGATGTGCGCCCAGGA